CATGAGCATTTTGGTTCTTAAATTAAGACAAATGTAATCTCTATGGGCTACAGCATCCACTTACCATTAGGTGGACTGTGTGGTCGTTTGTCACCCTTATCCTATATAAAAAATTTAAATTTTAAAATTTTTACATAGCAACATTTGTTTAATGAGGCTTATTATAATAAGGTACGTGAGGGTAATATGGTCACCTTAAGCTTTGCCGCCTTATAAAACCAAAACTAGGAGGAGGACAGAGACAAATACACAATGTCGTATACTACAACTAATATAGAAAAAAATAACAAACAAGCCTTGGCAATAATTAGCAACATTTCGAAAAATCAACTTAAAGAAAACTAACTGTAGTAGGTGAGGGTAATATGTTCATATGGTCACTTTCTTTTAACTCAAGATCGCGTCGATAAAGCGGCGGCCTTTCGACCCTTTATTATTTGAATGACTGACGAAGATCTATCGTATCACAAAGCCATCTATGCAAATTAGGCTGTAGTTTTTGAGTTATAAGAAAGTGACCATATTAACCGAATAACTATATTACCCTCACGTACTCTACTAAAGAGTGCATGATTGATAATTACCCTTTGGAATTAGATGATGCTGTTTATAAACATTTTCATACTTAATTGTATAAAATATGAATATTGTAAAAATTATTTCTAAAAAAAAGCTGGGTTTCTTGCTGGTTTTTCCTAGTACAGAGGATTTTTTCAGAACCGGTGGTAAAGCTAGGTAGGTATTACTAATGACAAGATGCAATAAGTATGTCTATGGACCACAGCATATACTTACTATCAGGTGGACTGTGTTCGTTTGCCACCCTTGTACTATTAAAAAAAATTACAAACTCGTTTTATAGAAAATTTATTTATGAATTTAAAAATCTTAGATACACCTTTTACAAAATGACATGTACATAAGTAACAAATTACAATAATATTTTCATCAATAATATAGTTACTAAACGCATTAAAATCCATAATGACGCTAAGAATATTTATTTAAAAAACCTACATATTATTTGCGTGTTATAGAAATAGTAAACATTTTTTGCCATCCTGATTTGATATTTTCTTATTTTATCTTAGGCACAATAGGTAACACTACGTTGCCTGTTTTTACAGAGAAATTGTATCTTATTTAATTAAAATTAAGCAAATTCAATGCTGGCACCACAAAATCGCCTAACCGTCTAATGACACCTCCAACACTCGATGTCTGTTATACAAAGTAGTACGCACTTGCTGTTCGGTCGACTTCACCCAATGATCGTTGGCCACGGTGGTTATAGGAGTTTCAATGAATTAGCCAACTTCCATAAACTATCACTCTATTTATAAAACTGTGCTTTTTTTAATATTGATCATCTTTATTTCTCCTGAGGTTATTTTTTTTATTTTACAAAGTCGGAAATAGTAAGACAATTGTAGTGCCAACATTAGATGTGTCAATTAATTTGACATTTTTTCACATTTTATTACTTTAACATAGTAAAAGCACCGTTGATTCAGCAAAGATATAATCTTATAATTATATTATAAATAAATTACTTTAAGAAACTGCTGGACGTTACAATTATGAACTTAAACTCTGTTTAAGATAATCAGAGTTTGAACTTTGATTTAAAATAGGAAGATCAGGACCGAATTATTATCACATTACTTTTGTCATTTTCAATTGTTTAATACTTTACATTTTACTGATATAAAATAAAACCAAAATTATTTAAATCTATCTTACTCATTAACATTAATTTTCATATTTTACCAATTAGTTACGATATAATTTCGTAGATGGCACGTATATTAAAATATAACTATGTAAATTATATAATACTTAACTATATTTGGCACATTGAGAATTCACAGCTTCTTTGGGCACTTTTTTGTAGTATAGGAATAACATTAAGTCAATGTTTTCTTTGCTGTCTGTGCTACCACGTTATGACGTTTATAAATATCTATAATATAATATCACCGTTGTGCCCGCAAACTCGACAATTAATGAACTACAACTTTTCAGTAGGAACAAAAACAGTTTCATCCAATTTTAAAAAGTTAAAAAAAAATTAAAAATTTTGGAATCTTAAGATAGCAGTGCTTTGCGAGGCACGGGGGTGAAATACCGCCAACTTCTTGACTCTGATCTGCTAAAAAGAATTACTTGATAGAAAAAGCCCAATAACTTATTTTGGTTCGATCTGGGATTTGATTCCCATGGCATCATGATCAGCAGTCACAGTCAGACCAAAATTACGAATAAGTTCAATAATATTACTTATTAAACTTATTGCTATGTGTACTGACGTCGACCCGCAGACCTCGTACGAGGTGACTTTCTAATAAATAATTGAAAATTACATAACTGCCGTTGGTAGCTCGCCTGCCAAACGTAGCGACTATTACAAATATTCCCCATTAGAGACAACCTACGGTGAGGTCTATGTTCAGCAGTGGATTTTGAATGATAATGAAAAATGAATTAATGACTATTAATGACATTTAATGAAAGGATCGATCCACGCATGGATCGGCTAGTTGAATGCAAGTTTTTATCCAAGTCCATGTACTCCACTATAAATGAATATGCTAAATGTGGAGTTACACCTGCACTTTAAAAATATAAGCAATTATATACCCTTTCTAATCATTTTTGTGTGATAGTAATTTCGTTTACATATTTAATGTCGAATTTCATTTCATAATAAGAAATGTTGCTAGATTTCAAACAAAAATTCAAAATATCTGTAAAATATTTATGTAAATATCATAGATATTTATGTTCCATAATCCATGATTATACTCTTTTTGTGACGCCTGACGTGGTAGCATAGACATTAACCATTGTTGTTAAGCTAAGAAATATATGAATTTTTGATATTATCTGCAACAAATATATCAAAATATACAATACACTAATTAACAGTTTAATTAATTATAAACCTAATGTTAATAGATGAACAATGTACTTTAGTCAATGAGTACTTTATATACACCTGACTTTAGCAGTGTTGATCAATCAAAATGATAGTGAGTGTTATTTTTAATGATCATTAGCATTTGAAACTCTAAATATACATACGTATTATAATCGGCGAAAATATGATTTGCTTTAAAATATTTTTTCTGTTAGGCTTTATTAATAGACTGTTTACGTTAGCAATTTATCCGTGCTTTTATAATTATATCCACAGTTACACATTTGTGTCAGCAAAATCATATTTTACATTCATAGAAATTGTTGTCCAAAACCCACCACTGCTATAATTTTATGTAAATACGAATCATACAAGTAAAGCATATTCACTCTGTCTTGAACTCAGATATCTTAATTAGATATTATAATCGATGGAAAGACAGATGCTGGCAAATTATTGATACTTTGCTTGCTTACTTCAAAATACTAGAAGTAATCAAATGCTAGTTCTAAATGTTTAGGAACTTAGGATCCAGCCCCTCTTAGATAAAAAAAAAACATTGCTTCAGTGGTTTATTAGGGATACAACTAACTATCGTGGTATGGTTTCGGCTGCACATTTTAGTTGATAAACGTTTTTATATATTTCAAAAAATGGATGTATGGCGATACTAAGCTCGATTCGATTCTAATTTCTTATATACATATAAATATTCATAAGTAACATTGATGCCATGAGGAGTACAAACCGTTACTCTATCTTATAATATATAAAACCTACAATATCTCTCGAACATTCGAAATATACATTGAAAGTAATACACTCTTAGAACTAGAACAAAAATCATTACGATATTTCTAATGCTGTTTTTGTTTTGATTTGAAAACAATATATTTTTAAAACTAAGTTTATTCTAAAATTGACAAAAACTATAAATTTTTCTGAGTTTTCGAAATAAATGCTTGCTAACATAGTTTAATTATAAATTGTTATAGATAAGGTATGTTCAAATTCGTTAGTTTGTAATTATATACTAACTTCAGCAATACAAAACATGCGTGAGTGTCGTGGAACACTCGGTTGAAACGAAGTTCCTTTCGTAGTATACTATTATTATTGATAAATGTATTATACTATTGATTTATAAATACAAATAAATGAATTACTAGCATATATTAAAATGAAACGTCGTTTAAAATAATATCTCTTTCATGGCAAGATAAGGAAAAGTCCGATGGAGATGGATAAGGGGTCATGACGGAAAATTTTTACACTCTTTGTCGCCTAGCCCCCATCCGCCAAATCCATACCGTCCGATAAAGAACTTCGTTCCAAAAATGAAATGACTTAAGACAAATGTTTCTTTGGGTTCGATTCCAAGTAAGTACAAAGGAACTTTTAAATGTTTTGCAACACATCGTTCTTGGTTTCATTACAAAACGTGGTTTATTGAGGCTCTAGTCTAAAGAATATAGTCTTTGTCACGACCTAAGTGTCTCGTTTCGGCGCCACAGTTTACGGTAAATTTGACAGTCGCTGTCAAATTCCATACGTAGCATTTTAGCACATGAGTAAATAAACCGATTTTAGTACGCATATTTTGCACGGGACTTCTTTATTGAAACATATTCTAACTTAAGACGAAATATAAACTTATGAGACGGTATTGGTTTTGTTTTGTAGTAAATATATTGTGTTTACAATCTAATAAGCCTCGGTAAAACTATGCTATATATATTTATTGTCAACAGTTAACAATAAAATTTAAAAAAGGACAACTTTCCTTGTGAATAGCGCTGTTCTCTCTCGTTTTTTTTTTTAATTTAAAATTCACTTTTGAAATAAATAATAATTTGTCAGTAACTTTAACTGGTAAATTTTTTTTTACAAACAAATTTCAGAAATTAATGTCGAATGAATCCGGTTGTTTTACCCGAAAAAAAACTAAATGAAAACAAAACCTGGCTCTAACTTATTTAGTGGTCTTTGGTTTATGGTGTGGATTAAATCCGTAAATAAACTTAATTTCATGTTATCTGCAGAATTATATTTTGCCTGGGTTTAGTAACTAATACCAATGCTAATATTCCCTGCGGCAGTAATATCCCAAGGAGCGACATTTCTGGCAGAGGTGCTGAGGATGTATTTTCGATTGGTCGCTGACGTCTAATCCATCAGGTTTCTCAAGGGGCCTCTGAAAAAAATATAAAAAAGGTTGTAAGATTACAATAACTTAATTTTTTTAATAGAAATTAAGTGTGACAAGCGGGCACAGATTCCACCTGATGGTAAGTGAATAATGTGGGCCATTAACGCCTATATCTATAAAATTATATATAATTTTTATTTTTATAATTATACTAGCTGGCCAGGCAGACATTGTTCTGCCCTCTCCGAAGACCCGGTGTCCTATAAAAATTATTAAGTTCGTAATAAAAAATATTGAGGGTCACTTATAGGGATAAAAACTATCTTATCTCTCAAGTTGGACCAAACTGCACACAGTGTGCAAAATTTCATTGAAATCAATTCAGTAGTTTAGGAGTTCATCGCGGACAAACAATGTGACACGTAATTTTTATATATAAAGATATAAGATTATTCAGTGCGATTGCCAAGACAATCTATTTACTTAAAATATAAAAGATTTTTAGTTTTGATGTGGTCACTATAAGATGTTGTTAGGTTAACTAATTACGTAATAACTTAAGACAGAAGAACTCTTAAGGCAAGAGTGAAATATAATTTCTATAAAAACTTCAAAAACGCCTTCATAAGGTCTAAAATTGCGTAGCGCCCGCGATGATTCAGACCGCTTAGAAATCGCTTAGAATCTTAAAATGTTTTAAAAAATTATTGATTTTAGTAATCAAAATAATGAGCAAGTAGATTACGAATATTGGTGTTATGAATGTATTTGAGTGGTTCCCAACAATGACATTTAAATATATAGGTATGCTACTACTTAAATGTCTTTGGTTCCCAAGCATATAGATTAAGTAATTTCGTTGTAATTTCGCGTAAATATAAGAAATGATTATCTAATAAATAAATTTAACCTGTATTCATTTTAGGTTTTAGAGCCACATATAGCGATTATGGCAGTAGCAAAAATGGGTCAGCTCGACTAAGGTAGTAACACGCCACTTGTATTCTACCGTTAGCATTACCATTTCAGCCTATCAAATTCCAATGCTGAATATAGACCTCCCCCATAGATAGCCGCATAGGGGGTCATTTGCCATAGTTGCCACGCTTGGCAATCAGGTTGACAACCGCAGTTTTTTATTTTTTGGTCGTTATTAGGAATACGCTGCTGCTCATCTCCTGATTTGTTTCCATCTGTGGTACTGTAACCAACGTAAAATAATAGCATCCTATGTTTCATACTGCAAGTATGGAGAACGAGACATCTAGTAACAGGGCATCCCATTGTAGTATTCAATAGTGACAACGTATCTGCAGTTTGATACCTACCCGAGGACGAAATAGTAGTCTATGTGACTGTGTGTTCATTTGACAACTAGAATTATAGAAAAACGATACCTGTTTGTGTGGGAAGACATTAATGCGGCATTTGATGCACTCCTGCCCGTTGTTGGCCCAAGAATTGCCGCTCATCCACTTACGCTTGCACTTCGGACACTTGTATTCGCCGAAGCACCGCTTCTTGCCCTGATAAGGAGTCAAACCCTCGCCTTTTGGACGCGCCTGTAAAAGAAAAGAGCATACATGTAGATAAATTCTCTACGTGGTAGAGCCATGCTGCAGCTATATTAATAAGTAGCTGTGCCCGCGGCGTAGCTCGCGTATACAGGTTTTACATAAACAATTTGTCGTTTAGGTAAGAGAATATTAAACGATTTATTTCATTACTGTATCAATAAGTGGTAACTAAATAAATCATTATCATCAAAGTCCTAAGTCGTTTATGATAGAGCTTCTGTGTAAACGACGTGAGAAGTAGGCTTAGCCGGGGTGTACACTAAAAGGTTACGGGGGCTACTAACGCGGGAAAAAGCAACATAGAGTTGGCCATGTGCAAAACAGTCAGTACTGAGGTACACTCCTACAACGCGTAAAGTTTGACCTTGCGCTTTATTTACGGTCATCGCATAACACACGCTCACTGTAACTGGGAACTGAACGCGCTTAAAACTGAAAGGAAAGTTACTTCTTAATAGAGGGTTTTTGGGCAGTGCTGCCAGATAAAAAAAAACTAATTCAGCTCTAGGACAACACAAAAAGCGCTAGATTTCATGAAAACAGCGCTTTAAAAAAGCCCTAGATTTCGCGCTAAATTAACTACAAACAAAGTTTGTGTTTTTTATATAATCATAATAAAGAAAACAACATTAAGTTTTTTTTCTGGCAATATTTTTTTGATGTATCAATACTTCGCAGGACATCGACTTATAATTATGGCAATTGCTGTCAACAGTAGTTAGTACTGTACGAACAATAAAAATGTCATTAATTGTTTTAAAGTGCAATGTATTTCGCAACTTAGTTTCAGATGTCAGCATCTGATTGCGGTTGCTACACAGTTTCTTTGTGTTATAACTTCTAAGTAACTTTTAACTTAGCTGTGCTCTAAGCAACTGACTGATACTGAATAAAGCAAAATAAATGCGTTGCCAAAACCATGAATAAAAACTTTAATAAAGGGGATTTCCCCGCTTATAGACGTCGGTAAAAAAATCAAGTTGATCATCCTAAAGGGGAAGCCAGGAGATCCATAGCACAGGATATCTTAGTTTGGACTCGTCTCCCATGCTCTTTGTTTTGTGGAAAAAATATGTTTGAAAAAGATAAACTGCAATGTACTATTTGTGGGAAAAAATAATAAAGGTCATTATTATTATTATCGGTAATGTGGACTAACAGTGCTGCTATAAAAGAGTTAATAACCCGCTAGTCGCTAAAATATTGAAATGTGTGCTAAATACACCAAAAAGCGCTGGATTAAGCTAGGTGCTAAAATTTCGAAATGCGCGCTATACATTCCAAAAAAGCGCTAAATCTAGTTCCCAAAGCGCTAAAATGGCAGTACTGATTTTGCGTATATTATAAATACAATATCACGACATTTCGTTGCAAAATTTTTATTTTTGGTCGGATTCCGTTGTATGGCTTCGATGGATACAAATTTCTTCAGTAAGTCTCAATACGATTAAACGGCGAAAAATCTCAACACAGCAATTCAGAAAAGTTTGTAATTTGTACAACTCCATCTATTACGTCCTTTGTGTGAGAAAACATCCTTTTTAAATCTCTTTTTGTGTTTTAAGTATAAATATATTAATTATTATGGAACGTTTTTTTTTACACACAAATCTTTTTATTACTATTTCTGAGATTTTATGGCGCCATTGAACAAATTCGAACCTACATTTCAAAATAATAATCATTACTTTCGATAGAATTAACCAATTTTAATAAAACAAAGATTAAATGTAACTCGAAGATACGCTTTATGATTTTCTTAACGATTTTTTTGAAAATAAAAGATGTTTACTTTAGACGTGATGCGTTCATATAATAACAGACAAATAGACATACAGACAATTCTAAAAATTATAAAATGTTCTTATTTAATTATTTTCAGTTCCCCATAATGATTTTAGCCACCAAAATATATACCTATACAATGTACAGAAAGAGACACAACATGTTATCATCATTTTTATTATATGTATATATTTAAAGAGAGATGGCGCTGCTAACATCAATTCTAAAAATAAAAGAGATTAATTGACGCGATTGATACATTATATAAAACGCAAGAGAACTTATAAATCAGTGCCTGCACAGTAAGCAAAAAATAAAGTTTGACTCTCGCCAAAACCAACGATTTGTTAATAGCTCTTTTAAAATTTGATTTACCACATAGAGTACTCGGCGGTAAAGAATAAATTGAGTTTGTCAACACGCAATAGGGCAGCGAGTAATATAATAAAGATTAGCAGTAAATATGAAAACTCATCTACAGGAAAAAAACACATTGCAATTGCTTTACATTTTCACAACACCACCATCTATCGAAGAAATGGGAAAACTATTGTGCTTGAGATTTAGTTAATAAGGTTAATATAATTATTTTTGTATAATATATTTAATACGTTCTTTAATACTTTTGTTTACTGCGTTTTAGATATACATAATTATATCATTATTTTACATAATTTAACTATGATTTATGATATGATATTAGTTTAAAATGCACTTGATGACTCAAACAAAGCCACCGTTGAGCAAATTCGTACCTATACTTCCCTACCCATACTTCAGAATATTTATCATAACTTTTGATGGAATGAACTGATTTTAATGAAATAAAGACTAAATGTAACCCGAAGATACACTTTATAATTTCCTTAACAATTCTTATGATATAAATTAGTACTTTATGCGTGATACGTTAACAAACAAACAGACAGACAGACAGACAGACAGAAAATTCTAAAAATGGTAGAAATGTATTTAATTACTTATTTTTAGTACCCCTCAATCACTTTTATTACAAAAATATAAAATGTACAGACATCTGCTATTTACAGTTTTATTATATGTATAGATATAGTTGTAGTACGAATGGGTCGGCTCGACCGGGGAAGGACCACACACTCACAGAATACCAGCGTAAAATAGCAGCTTAACGCTGCTGTGTTTCGTATGGTGTGTGTAGAGCACCGGAGACCCTTTTTACTGGACAAGAGGCATTCCATCTTAGCCCTCACGGGTGACAACGCATCTGCATTTTCATTCTTTATAGAGGATAGATGTAGATGTCTATGGGTCACAGCAACCACTTACCATCAAGTGGACTGTTTGCTCGTTTGTCACCCTATCCTATAAAAAAACCTTTATGGGTGTTTATATACAAAAATATTCGCCTACAACTTGGCAGGAACAATATTCTACACAATCCAGCTTCACCGCTATATCTATGTGAACGTGACGATTCCGCTTTGTCCATTACCCTGATCTAAAACTCTCCTGAAATTCCCTTTCTCTCGAACTAACTCGTATTTTCTTTACAGTGCATGTATTAAGATAATATAACTTGGTTTTGAAAGATGTATAATACAAAATCAGTGCGCTTTACCAACTTACGTTTACATCATCACGTATCATCAGACTAGTTAAGCACTGGCTTGTAACAGTTAAAAAAACGACTATTAATCATTCCATTTCTTTTCACTATAGGTGACGAAAGAGATGGCTATAGGATACGTCTGTCTATACGTGGTAGAGTCATGCTGCGGCTATATTATAGTTGTAGCACAAATGGGTCCGGCTCAACCGAGGTAGGACCACGCTCTCACAGAATACCAGCGTAAAATAGGAGCTTAATGCTACTGTGTTTCGTATGGTGAGTGTAGAGAACCGGGTACCCTTTTTACTGGAAACGAAGCATGCCATCTCAGTCCTCAGGGGTTACAACGTATCTGCATTTTGATTCTTAATTGAGTATAAATGTAGATGTTAATAGGCCACAGCATCCACTAACCATTAGGTGGACAGTGTGTTCGCCATTATTCTATAAAAAAAGTCAAAAAGATCGTATGGCTTCCAATAGAAGGTGATATAACCGCTTCTATAACGCCAGGCGTGAAATTACTGGACTGGCGACGGGAAGCAGCGTTAAAAGGGTGAAACGAGTACCGCAATAGACAAGTTCAAGCTGACAATTAATGCAAATCCTCGTTACAATATAAGAGGCTTATAACCATCAGTAAACCTTTATGATATGGTTACCAGATGAAAAATTTAAAAGTCCTTAAAGTTGGTAAAAAATTACTTCGCGTACATCCGCTGGATAAAATAAAATGATGTGTCTTACCTAGTTTGAACAGCACCTCCCTAGGAAAGACACACCACTGACCACTAAACTAGGTAAGACACATCATTTTATTTTATCGAGCGGATGTACGCAAAGTAATTTTTTACCAACTTTAATATAATGGACTTCCGAAAAATAACGCCTGTATCTATTAATTATTTTAAAAGTCCTGACAAAAAATCTGATTACCATATAAAATCCTAACAATTCGTTGTAAAGGTATTTAATGAGCGTGGAAAAAGAAACGAATTAATTATTGGTTTTGTGCACTCTCAATGCACGTCGCAGATTCCAAAATACTGACATATGGTATCGTGGAATACTTATGAAGATTGTGATACATATATAACTTTTTTTACCACATACAGAAGTAAGTAGTTACTTTCTAATATAGTCCTGTAAATAATATAGTCATCGTATTATTGTGCCTATGATATACCTATGCTGATTTGCATTGCAGAACAAAATAGCTGACTAGCGTTCGCTTCACGGTGGCCGAAGCGGAGACGTAATTATGATATTAATTCGGAGAATTTCATTTAGGAAAAAGTAGTAAAGAACAATTAAACACATAAAATTTTCCTGGCAAGTGAGAATCATTTAATATATTCGATAAAGGTTTTGTTTCATCATAACTTATTGAACAAAATTTGGTTTAAGAATATTTGACTGCGATTATTACAGTACAAATTCTCAATTTGCATATTAATAACTTTTAACAAAAAGTAAAACCCGACATCCAATTGCTAAAAAAGAAGTTATTTATTTGCTACCCTTACTACCCTTAGGTGTGGATTTTTTTCTCAAAATTTTTCTGGGACACCCTTGAAGTACAAACTTATTTAATAAAAAAAAGAATCATCAA